AATTCAGCTGAACTAGCTCTGGTATAGGTTAAAGGTTCCAGGGTACCAGCGGCACATCCCCACCCAGAAATTCCTAAAGTACCCCCCCCCCCGGTTACTATAATCTCTTCATTTCAACCCATCTCCAGCATTTTTTTTAATCAAACCTGCCCTGGCTAGCCTGAATTTCTGACATTTTTTCGAGTTTCTTTTTTCCTTCAGCCAATTTCTAAGACAAATTGAATACTTTTTCGGCTTCCCCGTGATGCTATTGTTTAATTTGGTGTAGTGTTCTNCCCCTTTCGTCTGTGAGATCATAAAATCAAAGTGAGATACAGACTCGCGGAGATATATACTTGTAAGCGAAGGCGGAAGCTCAAACTGACACTATGGGGGCTCATTCAGACTATATTAAGGTCTTTCCAAAAGTTTCCCAAACAGATCCCCTTCATCAACGTTTTTCAGAAATATTCATTCGTAGAATATCTGAGCAGTCACACAAGTCGTGGCCATTAAAGATCAACTCTAAAAAATACCTCAGATAGGTTGTTTTTAAGGGAATTCGCGTCAAAAAGCTGTATGGCTTAACTATTTTTTTAAGTCGACCAATGAGGACACACTTGACGAGCAGCTGCTATAGTACTGTATACCATTGATGAATTAAATTTTCAGCTGATTTTTCGGCGTTGGAAACGTGACCACGCTCTGTAAAGACATTTTTTAAAAAAGTACACAAACACACGAAGTTGTTAACAAAAGGACTTGACTTGCGATCTTGTTGGAATGCTTTCGCACGATAATCGTTAGTTGTCTCTGACTTAGTTCTGGGTCACGGCTGCCTCGTACCCAGACGTCTCTCTTTATAACGTGCGCTCAAAGGAAGGCGGGAAGGAGACAACTGCCGTCTGTACCCTTCCCATGGTCCCTTGCGGTTCATAACCAGTCACTCCTTTCGCGCTCGCCTCTGCCATGCGAAAAACGAAGCGCCTGAGGAGGAGGCTGAGGTCACGGTGTATCCCACACATTTGTCGACCTTTTTTGTCGTGCGGGCTAGCTGACGTCTTTATTGTAAGGTCCCAGTTTTTCAATAGGTGAATTAATATTAATCAGGTAAGATCGATCAGGTCATTTAATCCAATTGCTTTCATTATCTAGAAGAATTTTCAATTAGTTTTATTTTCAAAACAACATGGGCCAGTTGCCTGGTAGCGTATCTCTGCGAATAATTCATTTGGCACAAGCTGGGATATAATACTGAGAACAGCTGAAATGGAATTAGATCTTTTTTCCCTTCATATGCATAAGAAAGGCAAGTTATTCCTTTAACGATACACGTAAACTAGCATTGTAGAGCGTTACTCAGATTGTGATGTAACTGATTAAATTTTTGACAAAATTTCGTCGTGTCATGGCCGTGTACTAGTTAAGGTACTCTATTCTAAAAACCGAACTCCGGCCCGTAGTTAGTCGCAGTTAGTTTGCCATCTTCTCTTATTTTATAAACAAATCATATTTCTTTAGTTCTCATGTTGTCTTGATTCTTGAATGTTATTTCTTCCTTTATTATCATTGTCAATCCTTCGCAACTAATTTCAATTGATTGTTTACAATTATTCACAATAGAAAAATGATTTTTCTTTCCAATTTAGGACTCAGATACGTATGCATTTTTATACTAGAATTTTCGTATGTTTGCAGCCGGCATATATCAGCTGGAGACCATTCAAGATGTGCTTCCTGCACAAGTAGAAAGTTACCAATGCTCTAATGATAAAATTATGAAAACCAAGAAAGGTCTGATGCAGAGGCCTACCGTCATGTGTTACTGAAATTATTTATGACCCAAGACAAATGCACCTTAAGAGTTTCTCTTTCTCCCTTTGGACGAAACAAAAAAACTGAAAACAAATATTTGTCTCAAAACGGGTCTCACATTATTTGAAACACACTAAGATTGAAAGCCTGGTTTTAAAATGGATAGCCTTAGGGTTTCATATAATCGAATGAAAGATCCTAGCGCCAGGGACAAGTACAACCCTTTGCATGTTAACTGAATTGAAATCGTATGGCGTTAGGATGCCCCCAAAATGATCCCCAGCCCTTAAATGATCTCTTATTCGACCCTGAAATGATACCGAACCCGAAATGATCCCTAGTTAATTCTCGGAGTGGAATGGTATTCCGCCGAAGAATTGTGACAGGTCTGTGGCAGCGTTTACTTTCTTAAATGGCACTTAACATTTCACTACAGTTAATGTGATTTTTTAACCCTTTTGTCATCTAATCGCCTATATGTTTATTTTTGCATCTGCAACATCAAATTAAAATTTTCAAAAGTGTTAGAACACCATTTTTAAAATTCATTATGGAAGGCACGCAGTTTTAACATCATTTTTAGGATTTAACATCCATGTACTTTTCTCTATAACCCGGGCTATAATCACCTAAGTAAGTATAATAAAAAATTTTATGTTTCTTGATGTTATCAGTTGCAGTTCATGATGTTACTAAAAATATACTAGACTTTGTGGTTTAAATATTTTCGTTTAATCCAGTTCAAAGTGTAATCCCAAATAAATGTCATTAAAGAATGCAGGCAAGTGAAGATTATTAATGCTGTGCAATTTGCTGGATCCATAGGTCTAAGATATTATTCCATTCCTAAAATTAATTGGGGATCATTTTCGGGGACGACGTGAAGAGAAATGGGGTTCATTTCGGGGTTGGTATAATTTCGAGGTCGATTTAGGGATCATTTCGGGGGCGGTACAGATCAGCCTTCGCCAGGATCTTTCTGTGATAATATCTTCCTCCGTCGGTAAAGACGATAAGACATCACACCGACGTAATAAAATGTAGATTTAGATGTAGATGTAGATGTAGATGTTTTGGGTTTACTACACACCGTAAATTCTTCACCTGATTTGTACTTACTTTGGAAGGTGGTGGGGATCCCGGTGAGGTTTTCCTCGGCCTTTTTGAAGTCAAAGTGTTCTGATCCACTTCAACCCCTTTTCGTTTCGCCTATGACATATGTAAAAATTAAACGGCAGATACTAAGTCAGCTACGACGTCAAGACGATGTACCTTTAACAAATAGTCGAGAAAGTTTATTCTTCTAACCGAAGTGTTTGCGAGTCTACTCTTAACCAACAAGAAATCTCCATTTCTGAAATGCCGAGAATCACACTTAGAAGCCATTTAAAACGAACGGCCAAGACGTCTTCGAAGAGTTAATTTTCTTTACCAGACAAGATTTCTGAAAATAATATAACTCAAGTACATCCCTTTTTCTTAAAAACTGAATCATTGTATAATGCAATTCTAGATCTCTGATTGGCTTAGCCATCATTATGAGCCATTATACCATGATCTCCAGGGGTAACTGTACGGATCTGTTCAAAAATTAAAAACAAACTGAAAATCGGTTGTTTGAAGTCGGAAAGAACTCTCGATATTTTGTGGGCGTTTTTAATAAAACAATTATTCCACTCGCGCTTGTTGGATATGAGATGATTATAGCCAACTCGGCGCTACACACCTCGTTGGCTACTACCTTCTCATATTCAACACGCACTTTTGGAATAATTGTTTAATTTTATCCTATGCATACGGTCATCCTCAACAAAGCCGGCGAAACAAACAAAAAAACAAAATTGAGAGAGTATATAATGTTTTGATTTTTTAACTTAGCAGACGACTCAAATTCAGGACAGCTGTTTTGTTTAGTTGGCATGACAATGTTACTAAGAAATACATAGCGATGCAATTTCATTTAATTTCATTCATTTTACCATACCCTGCTTTCGCACAAGTCTGCGGGTATAGCAGATCAACCTAAAAGTCCACTTTTATCTGAATGATTTACAAGGGTGAAAAAAATGTGGTTTCCTAAAAATGACGAGGTCAAAAACTTTATGGAAAAAATAAAGGAAGTTTATGAGGAAAAGGAGAAGGATAATTTGAGCGATGATGTTGTTCGCATGTGTGATCTTCTATCGCTCCTCTTGGACAGATGCATGAAAAGTCCAAATCCTTTACCTGAGAATGTGAAACAACACTTTAGGGATATCTACCGGAGCTTAAAATTGCATATGGAGTTTCACGGCTTTGGAAGGGATGCTGCGGCCGACAAATTAAACCTGAGAAAAGTGGGTAAATATCTTGAATTGGGTGCAGATGACGCGCCAGAGATAGAATGTGCCATCGACCCTGGGAGCAAATTGTTGGAAATTGTAAGTAAGCGTAAGACAAAACGAATTCTTGGAATGAAATCTAGAAATTCTCTTCCAGGTTACACTGCATTTTCCTTGTTAACTGAGAACACATGATCAAACATACTAGTAAAACTGGGTAACTTGTAGGTACTCAGATCTTCATATAGTGCGAGTCTGTTGTAAGCAAAACTTGCCCAACTGATTTATTACATTCAGGCTAAAATCAATTGTGAAAAATTACATGGCAGCGAGAAACTGGTGTTATTTTTTTAACGCCGTATGGTGTCGTTGCCACTGACTCCGTTATGTTATTCCACAGCTAAAACGTAAGGAAAGCTTTCCGCATTTTCACCTTGCAGTTTCACATTCACACCTCATGAACGTTTTTTCAACTTCAGTTTAGTCACATGGGCATGGTTCGCAGACCGCAAAAGGTTCGCAGACGAAACCCGCGCATCAAAGAACATGCGGGAAAAGTATGGGAGATGACAAACGTTTGGTCAAGTTAAACTGAATCAATGCCCAAGGAAAAACAAATAGACGGCGTAACAGATTCAGGCCAAACGTTTTCAGTGCTGAAAGTTTCCCATGGTATAAAGTCAGCAGTCAGTCACTTCTTTAGGCCCTCTTTATTTATATACAATTGAGAATCTCTTATTTTAAACAGAGCCTGAAAAAAGCAGTAATGAGCCTCCAGTAACGGCAAAAGAGAAAATAAGGGAAATTTACCTTTTTTTTTTCATGCTGCAGCTTAACAGCTATGTTTCCTATTTCAGTTTTCTTTTTTAATTTCAGTTTAGTATTATGGCAGTTTATGATGGACCAAACCTGGGCAGCGAAGAACATGCTGATCGAGTATGGCAGATGGCAACAGATTTTTTGAGAATTCTAAATCGACCTCTAGAAGGAAGGGAAAGAGTGCGCAACAGATTCAGGCCTAAGGTTTTGACCAAAGTTTCTCGGAGAGATAAAAAAGGGAAGAAAAAAAAATGGTCTGTCGGTTCATCAGTGGCAGTCAGTCACTTCTTAAGGCCTCTTTATTTATGCAATAGAATTTGTCGTTTTAAACCGACCCTGAAAAGAGCAGTGATATATAACGAGCCTCTAGAAACGGCAGAGACGAACGTTGAATGGCAATCTGAAGCACTTGGGGGAGAGAGGTATGAAATATCAAAAAGACCTTGCCAAACCTGCTATTCAAAGTTCGTGAACTTACACTGCTTTCAATACGGTGAAAGCGACCAGCGTCCGTTCAGTTCGGCTCAATGTGCCGAGTATTGTCCTATCAACCAACTTCTCCCACTTGATCAAGAAGCTAGGCCAGAAGATGAGATTACACAAGAGCTTGACACTATCCTGGGACAGTTCCGTCAAAGATGTTGGTTTCTTTATGAAGACTTTGGAAATATTGCACAGATATGCAGCAGGATATGCAGGGAAGCGTCACATTTTGGAGATATTGATTATGAACACCTCCGCAATGCATACAATGAGCATGTAAAAGACAGCGTAGTCATTTTTGGTATAAGACCAGAATTAAATGGTAGTTTGAGACCAGCGTGAAGAGTTTTACTCTCTTCGGGGTAATAAATAATCCAGGTCTGAAGAGAAGCCAACTGCCAGAACGCTGGGCCCCGCTACCCCTGAATAGCTAATCAGGTAAAGTTTTAAAAAATTCTTAAACCATTTATCCCTGCCATTAACGCTGTTTGAAGCTTGTGGAGCTGTCATTTTATCATAAATTCAAAGATACACATTTGAGGTTAATTAGTTTAAACGAGTATTTCAAAGCCATTTTGCATTATTTCGGTGTTAATTTGACCGCCCGAATCGATGTACAGAACTGAACTGAAACCGGCCAGTCTTTAATTTGGTCGATCGGTCACACTGATCAGCGGGAAAAGAACCAGTTTCTTGTGGGTTTGCATAGGTGTAACGTGAATTCAAACTTACACATTTCAGGGAAAAGCAATGATTTGACCTTTAAAAAGCCGAACTGAAACACACTTCCGAAAAACAAACATATCCTATTAGGACCGACGGCCGTAAAATCGTCTGCGCTGTGAGATCTCGGCACTGGCAAATGTTCTTTTATCTCGATTTTATTCTGTCTTAGTAGCCTCTGGTCCAAATTTTTTCATTGTTCTCTGTAAAATACTTTTGCCGTGGAAATTAATCGTCAAAAGAAACTTCTTGATCGCCGAAACGGCCACAAAACAGTGAAAACAACGACGACCAAGTTTTTTGCTTGAAGACGTCATTACATTATATTGCGGACACCCAAGAGATATTACACAACTATCCCCCGAAGGGAAGGTGAATAGTGGTGGATATATACCTCGACGCTACACGTCTCGGTAATATTTAGCGCTGTTCACCGACCCCGGTGTTAGCTATCATGAGGCTCTTGTTTAATATTATGAACTTTAAGAAATTAGCAACCCACCATGACGAACTATATGAGTTACTTTTTCACACAATTGTAAATGACAACAATCACCTCCTTTATAAGTTATTACCTGCACCGCACGAATCTACTTGTTCATTAAGGCGCGCGCGACCTTTTGATATGCCACGTTTTTAAAACCGACCGTTTTAAGAATAGCTTTATTATCTTTTCATGTCTTAAAGCAACTAACTTTTAGATCAGAGTTTTCGATTTCGCAGCTTGTATTTCGATAACTTTTTCAGCATATCATCTCTTGTTAGCGTTTTTATTCCTTTTAATTAAGATAGATTCGTTAATGTTTAGATCTATAATTCAATTTTTGTAACGTAAATACGCAATTCAGTTTTCCAACTGCTATGTATTTATGAATTAATAAACTTCAAACTTCAAACGCTACTACTTAGTATTAATTAATCATTTTTACCTGTTCTTGTAATTGTGACATATTTTATCCTTTAATTTCCTCTTGTAAATTATCTAGCTCATTACAAGGACTTGATCATAGGTTAGAACAAGAGAGGATATCCTCTCTTCAGTTAGAACTAATAATAATAATCAGCAATCTAATGTCAATATCAAAACAAGTAGCCCTACATGGTAGAGAAGACTAATGTCGGCTTATGCTTAATAAAAATTTATTTCAATTTTTTGTCTTGTTTTGTTCGTTTCTTTGTTATTTGTTTGCAAAAATATACTTTTCCTTTGGTTAGAGGAACTTTTCCAAAACTGACCTTTCTCAATCTCCTAAAAATAATTACTGTAACAGTTAAACTGAATATCGTTAAGCTGGCTGAAACTCTAAATTACACAATTAACTGATTTGATGCACCCCATATCAACAAGAGTAACTACAACCACGAAGGATAAAGGAATACAGATCCCAATTAAATTCAGAAGAAAAAACTACATCCATTCGGTTTCTATAGATAGTTACAGTGTGATTACACAGGTCAGTTAAGTATAGTAAAAAAGATTGATAAGTCTGCAGATCTAACAAGCTTTTTCATTCATCTGAGGCAGACGTTCGCTGTTGTTGCGGCAACAGTGTGTACACTTTTGGCTTGCGGATTCGAATAGCAAAAAGCTTCAGGATCTTGAAAGCCTGCAATGAAAGATAAAAATCCACTCTTTATGCCATTATACATTCGCTGGGTCACGAAATCAATCCCAAATCCCAAAGAGATGTGACACAGAGGGAAAGCGTCCTGCGCCGCGGAGTGCTCGTCACTTTTTTTTTTCTCTCTGCCCATACGCGACTGACAAACGACGCAAACGACTTCGTAAGCGCAAAAAGTCATAAAAGAGAAAAGCTTCTGCTCGCTACGCATCTCTCTCGGGGTTTCTCTCTAACTCGAAAAAGGGCAGCTTTCAGAGGAACGAAAGTATCAGATGAGAAATATATACTTCAGAAAAGACAGTCAAGTTCTTGGACGGGTGAGCAAAACTTGCAGCAAACGAGGCAGTGCGGGAAGGTTGTAGAAGCAGGTTTGATTACAGCAAATAAAGCGCCAGACTCACCACAAACCATGCAAAAATAGCTCCAAGTACAAATCCCGCCAGAACATCGGTTAAAAAATGCTTGTTATCAGCAATTCGGCTCCAGCCAACGAACAGAGACAACGAGACAGCAACGACCTGCAGCAATGGCTTGAGTAATTTGGTTTCTGTCCTCACAGCAGCTTGAAGATATAACTAGGGAGATAAAGAACGAGGGTTCATTTTAGGAACATTTAAAACAATAATAATAATAATAAATAAAAAAGGTTGAAAGGAAACAATCCTTTGATCCTGTGGGGATTCCGAGCCGATTTGAAGGATTATGCTTTTTTCTTTAGCCTTTCAGTTAACAGGCGCGAAAAAAAAGAGGGGGGGGGGGTGGGGGGGAGAAAAAAACAGAAGGAAAGCGCTCAATGGCGAAAGAGACAGGAAATTCCTCTCTCCTAGTTTTCCCTTATTCTCCATCCCCTTTTGACGTCTGCAACTCAAACCAGTTTTGTTCCATTGAAATTCCTACAGTTTTCTGCCTTTTCTAAAAAACGTGAATCTAGGGAGCGACCAAAGATTTCCATGTGTTGAAATGATCTGGATAAAGGAATAGTTTTGATGGCTCTTTGGAAATTATTTTTATACCTTGGAGATGTTCGCAGAAGCTTTCAGTCAGTTTTCTCCCCTCCTGTTCACTGTGGTTCGAACATAGTTGGCTTGGCAATAAACTGGCACTAGCGTGTGGTCAAGGCGTGTTGCCTCGTCTTCAAACTAGTTCCAGTTCACTGTCGAAAATATGAGACTGGCAAGCGTACGTTGCCATAATTAACTTACCGCCAAGAACAGCATGCCATACATGGAAATAGAAGAGTGTCCAGACGGAAAAGACATACTGCGGTGAAATAATTAAGGTTATTACACATTGTACTCACTATCTGTCTTCTCATTGGATAAGATCCTACAGTTAATTTTGGAAACCAATTAGACTACGAGCCGTCTCTCTTCTTTCTGTAGTCCGTCGAGCAAAATGCGAGACACGCAAATGGCCACGCGCGTGACTGATGCCCCCCTCGTTTCGCGCGTCTCGCGGCTTTACCGCTCGCGCGCGCGTGCACTCCCCTTACTAAACCTGAAGAAAAAGAGGGACTGCTCGCAGTCTAGAAATCAATGCAACCTACAGATTAGTTAGATCTGCTAGCAGATAACTGACTAATCTGTAGGTTCAGCGTGCAATGCATGATTTCCTATATGATCAATACTATCAATTCAGTTTCCTTGCAACGGTGTGTTTGTCGTTATTTTCTTCAAAACAATGTAAAATAAAACAATTATGAGATTCGGTTTTTGGGATATCCTAAATAATCTAGGGCTCGGTAAGTGTTATCAGCCTCAGCTTTTGGCTCAGCTGATAAAACTTACCTCTACCTTGATACCAGGGGAAAGAGGCCTCTGATAACAGGGCCCTTGGCAAGGAAGTTCACGTGTTTTACTCCAAAGTAATCACATTGTTTCATACCTGGCAAGTTTTATTTCAAAAAGATCCCCAGTGCACACATCCCTTGTAACGTAACCTTGACAACCAGGTCCAGTTAGATTAGCCTTGCATGCAGCCATAAAACTGGGTCTCAGACGGCCTACAGTCAGCTTGGACAGGTCGGTCACGATTTGGGATAGAAATCCGCCAAAAACAAACACGAAGATCAATGAAAACATGCTGCAGTAGAAAAGGGATTATAAAGGTAATGAAATCGATGTTCAAGTCAATATGGATTGCTTAAAAAAATGAGTACACTTTACGCGAAATAAGTCCTCCTTCTTTCTGTTTTCAAATCATTTCGTATACGTTACTAAACAAGTGCTGTGGTTTCAACCGATTTTTTTTCTCGCTTGGCGTTGATTGCTTGGGTTAACGAACGTGTCTGGCCCGATTTTGTGTAGTTTTTCCCTTTGTGTAAGGTAAATATAATTTTTGGCACTTGAAACTGTTACATTTTTATTTTAAAGACGACCTTAAACCTGTCAAAATAACTCGCATTACACCCGCTCCTGAAACGAAGTCGGTTATTTTCATCACAAACAGATGCATCGATCGCGTAATGAGTGATAAGTAAAAAGAGTTGAACATCTTACTTGGTAATCCAGGGTTTTAAAGAAAAAAAACCAAATGATTCCGGTTCTTCATCTTCCTGATCGTTCTCTGACTTTCCCATGTTGTTAGACACCTCCACAATGAAGATCTGTTCAATGCAAAAGTACGCAGAATGGTAACATTTTAAGTGGATTTTCTGGGGGTGTCATTCTTTTGTTTGTCAGCTTTCAGAAGGAGAAAAGATGTATGGCGCGCGAAAATATAAGGGCGTTATCTGGAAAAAAGCGGCGGTGGAGGACAAATGAAAGGAGAAAGCCCTTTCTCTCCCCAGTCTCCTCCTGTTTTATTTTCGTATTGGTGCTTTCTCAATTTCGCGGACTCGACTAATATCGGAGCCTGGAACAGGCTATTGCTCCTTCAGCTTCTCCAACTTATAGCTCCCATATGGGGGGGGGGGGGGGGGGGGGGGGGG